TTTTTATTTTTTTATTTTATTTTTTTTTTTTGAGGAAGATTAGCCCTGAGCTAACATCTGCTGCCAACCCTCCTCTTTTTTTGAGGAAGACTGGCCCTGAGCTAACATCCGTGCCCATCTTCCTCTACTGTATATGTGGGACACCTACCACAGCATGGCATACCAAGCAGTGTCATGTCCGCACCCGGGATCCGAACCGGTGAACCCCGGGCCGCCAAAGCGGAACATGCACACTTAACCGCTGCGCCACCCAGCCAGCCCCTGCCTGGTTTTTATATCAGGGTAATGCTAACTTCATAAAGCTAATTGGGAAGTTTTCTCCCTTCTATTTTCTGAAAGAGATTGTGTATAAATCATAAATTATTCTTCAAACATTTCATTGAATTCTCTAGTGAATCTCAAGTGGAGATTCCTTTTGGGGAATTTTCAAATTATGAACTCAGTGTCTTTGATAGTATAAAGCTATCCACATTATTTCACATTGTGTGAGTTTTTGTGGTGGGTGGTTTTACAGAATTGGTCCATTTCATCTAAGTTGTCAACTGCATGCATGTGGAGTTGTTCATGGTGCTCCCTAGCTTTTTGATATCTGCAGAGTATTAGTGGCATTCCATGTTTCATTCCTGATACTGCTAATTTGTGTTTTCTCCCATTTTTGTCTTTGTACATCTTGGTAGAGGTTTGTCAACTTTATTGATCTTTTCAAAGAACCCACTCTTTGTTTCATTGATTTTTCTCTATTGTTTTTCTGTTTTAAATTTTATTGATTTCTGCTCTTTATGATTTACACTCTTCTGCTTCCTTTGGATTTATTTTGCTCTTCTTTTTCTGAGTTCCTGATGTGAGAGCTCACATTGTTAATTTAAGATGTTTCCTTTTTTCTAATGTAAACATTCAGTATTATAAGTTTCCCTCTCATCACTGCTTTAGTTGTATCCCACAATTTTGATATGTTGTATTTGCATCTTCATTCAGTACACTGTATTTTTTATTTCCCTTAAGATCTCTTCTGTGACTCATGGATTATTCAGAAACGTGGTGTTTATTTTCCAAGTGTTTGGAGACTTTCCTATTATCTTTCTGTTATTGATTTCTAGCCTGACTCTACTGTAGTTGGAGAACATACTCTGTATGACTTCAAACGTTTAAATTTGTTGAGGTCTGTCTTATGACCCAGAATGTGGTTTATCTTGGTATATGCTCTATAGGCACTTGAAAAGAACATGGATTCTGCTGATGTTGGTTGGAGTGTTTTATAAATGTCAACTAGGTTTTGTTGGCTGATGATGTTGAGTTTCCTATCCCCAGTGACTTTCTGTCTTGTTTTTCTATCAATTTTTGAGAAAGGGGTCTTGAAGTCTTTGACTATCATTAAGGACATGTTCACTTCTCCTTTCAATTCTATCACTTTTATTTTACATGGCTTGCAGCTCTGTTGTTGGGTGCATACATTTTCAGATTTGCTATGTCTTATTGTTGGAGTAGCCATTTTATCATAATATAATGTTCCAGATACCTCTTTATCTGGTAATTTTCTTTGGTCTGAAGTCTATTTATCTGATATTAATATAACAACTCTTGCTTTCTTTGGGTTAATGATTACATGATATGTCTTTTCCCATCATTTTATTTTCTACATGCCTTATTATTATGTTTGAAGTCACTTTCTTGCAGACAGCATATAGTTAGGTCATGTTTTTTAATCCAATCTGCTAATCGATCATTTCATTGGTATATTTTGACTGTTTACATTTAACGTAATTATTCCTATGCTGGGCGGGGGGGGGGGGGGGGGGGGGCGGCTATCTCGGGGTCCCCACATTGAATTTCATGAAAATGCCTTCAGGGTTGGTGGGGGGGGAGGGTAGCTAGCTAACACCCAGGGGGATGAAAGTACTGACTCAGCCTTCTCTGACAATACCCTGGTGGGGGATGGGGAGAGTTAATAGCAATGTGAGAGTGGAAGTCTATACTCTCCACTTGGCCTTTGCTAGTCTTTTTCTCTGGTGTTTGGCTGGAGAACAGTGGTTATTTTCTAAGAGTTTCTATCTTGTTGGCTGGCCCTTTCCATGTCCTTTGGCTAGAGAATAGGCTTTTGTGGGGGCTTTTTAAAATGTCTGTGCCTGTTGGCATTTCTGGGTTACCAGCTTCTTCAGCTCTAAGACTGGAATATACGAGGCAAAAAGAAAACCCAGATAACTTGCAATCATGTCATTCCCTGGGTCCTAAGGTGCCTAGGCAATCTGATTCTCTCCATTTTTCTGAGTCTTCTTGTGTTTCTATAATTTCCAGGGTTTTTTAGTTATATTTAGTGGAGAGACTAAGGAAAAGTACATCTGCTCCACCTTTCCAGAAACAGAAATCACTCATCATTTTTTAAATTCATTCTGACAATCTCTTTAATTCATGTGCTTAGACTATTTACATTTAATGTAATCATTGACATATCAGGATTTAACTCTACAATTATATTATTTGTTTTATGATTGTGCCGTTTGTTTTCCATTCCACTGCTTGCCCTTTTCCTTTTTAGATTATTTAAACAATTTTTAATATTCCATCTTTTGTGCTGTTTATCTGTATACTTTTTTATTGGTTGCCCTAGGGATTACATACCTCATTTTTCACAGCCTAATTAGAATGAATACTTGAACACTCTAAGTGGAAGACCCTACCCTCAAATAGGCCCATTTACCCTCCTCCTTTTATGTTGGAGTTATTTTACATATTACATACTTTGAAAACCTTGAGCAATGTTATATTTTTTGTTTTCAACCATCAAATGTATTTTGAAGACTAAAGAGAGGAGAAACAGTCTATTGCAGGGGTCAGCAAATTTTTTCAATAAAGGATAAGATTATCAATATTTTAGGCTTTTCAGGCCATACACTGTGGGAGTAATGATTGAGAATAGCCATGTGGAAGCTTCCAGAATGTGGTCAGTGTTCTGTTTCTTGACCTGGTTGGGGGTTACACAGGAGTTCACTTTGTGGTAACTCCATGACTGTACATTTTGTTTTATGCACCTAATTTCTGTTACTAACTCACCAACCTAACTTTTGTTTTCTGGACCTAACTTTTTGTGTGTTATACCTACCAATGAAAGTAATTTTGACACTAAATACATCAGAGAGCTTGGAAAAAATAGATCAGAGACCTTGGGAGTGGATTATCAGAAAAAAGAAGGGGTTCATAAAGTGCATGGGACTTGTTGCTCCCTTCAGTCCTTCCTTGTTTGAACAAAATTAGCAGACAAAGAAATAGTTAGTTTGTCCTCATCCCTGAGATACTAAGAACATCTATTGAGTGCAGTGCACTGAGACGGTCACTGCTTGCTGGAGCCACAAGTTTAAAAATGGGAATTGTGAAAAAATGAAATTAGACGTAGATGAATTACAAAGATAAATATAATACAGAAATAGCAGGAGAAAGGGAATGAGAAAAGAAAGGTAAAGATATTCTTTAGGGAGAAAGTCAACAATACGAATTCTGGATATTTTCCCTAGGGAGGGCATGAAGGAAAAGGAGGTTGAAGAGAAGATGGTTAAGAAGGGAGAGAGCAAAGAAACAGGAGAGGAAGTAGGGAGGAAAAGAGTAGAGAAATAGAAAGATGAGAAGGAAGGAGAGAGGGGAGAAAAGGAATGAAGGGAAGAAGGAAGGATGGACTAAAGAAAGGATAAGACACAAGAAAGAAACATGGGTAAGTGATCCCTGTTGGGCGCCTGGTACAAGTCAGGCATCTTACCCATATAACATCATTGAAACCTCACATCAACCCTCCAAGGTAGATATTATCTTTCCTATTTTACAAAAGAGGAAACAGAAACTCTGAGAGTTTATTTTACTCAAGGAAATACACCTAGAAACATCAACCCTGGCTGCACACAACTCCAAATTCTGTGCTCTAGGAAATCATTTAATTCCAACGGGGAGCATTCCCTTATGGGAAGTACATGCTTATGTTATACCTGAGTGCTGGAAAGAATTATCCCAGAGGGTGCCTTTGTCCTAATAAGAAGTAGAAAATGGTTGATCTTCTGGAACCCTAAATCTGTAATTCTGTAATTCTATGGCATTGGGTCAGTTACATGGAATACTTACTGATATCACTGACATACTCTAAGCCTGCCTTAGCATTAAGGGGCATTTTCAACGAATCTAGCGTGCACTTTTTGGAGCGAAACCAGTAGAGTACTAGAAGAAGTTCCGTTTAAGTTGACACACAATGCCTCATCGCATGAGAAAAGGGCACAAAACATACTCCATAGCCCTGTTTTTAATATTTGCCAACCAGCAAGAGCGCCAAAGATAGATATACGGAGTGGTATAGAAAAATGCCAAGAGAAACCTCAAGATCATGAAGCTACTTGGATTTCTTCAGGCTAAGCCGGGAGCAGGACTTCATCAAAGAGAAAGAGAGACCCCGGAAGAAAATCATCTCATTTTAACAAACCTGTATGTGAAGAATGGCATGCTTTGTCTTCGCATGTACCCCAACTTTTTGGGTCACTTAAGAGTACTTGCAAAAAGTATTATTTATTAATCCTTCCACTTAAGTTCAAAGTTTTTTAGCATTTACTGTGAATCAAAGGAAGTGGGGAGCGGATGGGAGAAGAAGGGAAAAGGATCATTGACATGTAGTGAGGACGGCATAGGGAGCAGACTGCCAGGATATTCTATATAGCACGGCTCTGGGTGTTCATTGTAGTCCCAAAAAGGCACAAAAATTAAACCAAGGCACCTCCAAGGAATAATTAGAAGTGAAAATCGATACGGAGAAAATGGCTCATATTCTCCTCATTGATTTCCTGTGCACAGCGAGTCAAACACGACTGTTTGCTGGAAGTCAGTTTGGCTACTTCTTATTACTTTTTCAGCAGTTGGGCACTCCTGTCAGTGCCTTTCATGCTGGAGTCTTGCTTTGCTCTAATCACAGCTGTCAGCTATTGAACAAGTTTGACACCCTGACTCCAGAAATGAGGGGATTCACACTCCATGCATATGCAGCCGCTTCCTTCATTAAAGCTGATTGACATAACAGATATGGTGCACTGCCACGGACTTTTACAAGCAGAACAAATGGCGACACAATCAAGTAGGAATCTCCTTGATCAGAAACACCCAGAGAGCCCAAGAATCAGTCTTTATACAATTCAGCCAGTATTACTGTAAACACCTATACTTTTATGACTTAAAATGGTAGATATAGGCAATCAGACAAGAGCTAGCTCTGTAGACACACAGACACACCAGATTCCTCCCCCACCACCTTCGCTGTTCATTCCAAATCATCTTGGTTGGAATCCCAGGTGTTGAATGAGGAGGATTAGCTGCCGTGACCTGGATTTTTGAGAAGCATAAATTTCTTAGAGGAAAAGGGGAGAATGACGGTGACCAGAATCTCCTCCTCCACCAAAAATGAAAAAAAAAAGCAGCAGCAGCAGAACTAGAGCTTCTCAGAACGTCTCGGAACTTAAAGCCATAAAATGACAGGCTCCAAGTTGAAATGGATCATCTAGTCCAAAACCACCACTGAGTTCAAAATTGTTTCAGGGCATCCCTGACACGGGCCCATTCAGATTCCAGCTGGCATTCCTAGCAGTAGGGATGCCTTGTTTGGTGTGAGGCTGCTTTCTGGAAACGCATGCACGAACTGGACTTGTATTATAGAGTCACCATAGTACGGTCCCTACCGAGATGTATTCTCAACCTACCACTGGTATTTTGTAATCAACGTTTGCCCTCTCCAAACCCCGGGACTTTATGACTCCAGCCACAAAATTCTCCTGCTGCAATTCAGACGTTAGTTGGTCTCCTCCTCTGAAGCTACAAAGATATTATCAACGCCCTTCCAAAGGTCAAGTGTCCTCTGACCATCCCTAATTGATCTTTAACTTCTGTTTCCTCCAGCAGTTCCGGAAACACTCAGGGGAATGCTCTTCCATGGCGCTGTGTAGAACCCCCAGCACTACCACCTGCAGTTTTTCAGCAACTCAGCACTGTTGGCAAATAATGACAAAACAGAAAGACCCTAATGGATTATACAAAAATACTGGTACGTAGCAACTCTTCAAGGGAGGGAAGAGCAGTATGGGAGTGCTACAACTAGTTGAGAACGTAAGATGTAAAACGTCGCTTACCCTACTGTTCTGGGGGTGGGGAGATGTAAATTAACATATACATACATACACATGATTGTACTATTCCAGACCGTGATATATTTCTTCTTTAACACAAAAAACTATCCTTGGGGGGCGGGGGGACAAACACCACTGCTGCCCAGGCCAGCGCTGAAGGAAGCCCGCCCAGTGTCCCAGGTAGCCGATTCTATTACCCAATAGCTAAGGGACCCAACCCCGGGGTCAGATGGACGCAGCCCTGTTCGTTTGCTCCCGAGCAGGAATCACACTTGGACAGTGTTGCCTCGCTGGTCGCATCTGGTCTGTCTCCCTGGCCCAGAGGAGAGCCTGGCACGTGGCAGGGGGTCAGTCGTTCTTGAGCCGGGAAGCGGCTGTTACACTAATGCGTACCTCGAGGAATGAACGAATAAATGGACGAACGAACGACCCGGAGGTCGGCCTACGCCCTCCGCTCCTCGGCCCCATCGCTCCGCGGGCCGAGGAGAAGCGCAGGCGAGCGGCCCGGGGTACCATCCCCAAGCCCCGCCTACGGCGGCCGGGAGGCGGCGGGCCAGGTCAGGGCGGAAGCGCGGTCGCCGGCGGCTGCCCGACCCGCGCGCACGCAGGCGCGGCACCGACGCTTCCGGGAGGTCACTTCCTACCCTGTCTCCTAGCAACGGCTGGAAGCGTTGTTGACGTCCGGGGCAGCGGAGGCGCCGGACTGAGCCCAGAGTCTCGCCGCTCGCGCGATGGTAAATCTGGGGTCTCCGTCCGCGACCCGCCGCTCCAAGGGCATCGGCTGGAGGAGGCCTCCCGGGGCCGACCCAGGCGTGGCCGGGGCCGGGGTCGCCGCGAAGGCTGGGGGCTCCAGAAGCTTCTTGGAGGGGCTCCAGGGAGACCCTACGAAGAAGATGCCTAGATGGGGGAAGCTGTCTTGGGGGATAGCTATCTAGGGCGTTGAATCGGCATGGGGGCGGGTCTGGGGGGGGGCCGCTATATTGAGAAAGAGAAGAGAGATATTAAGGGATAAAGATCCCGAGGAGGGTGAGAGATCTGGACCGCGAGGAAAGTTTGCAAAGGGAAGGGACGAGCTGGAGAGGAGAAAAATCACCCAAGAGGGAAGAAAGAGATGGGACAGGGAGCACAGGGGAATGCAGAGCGGGGAGAAGGAGGGGATACTGAGAGAGAAGATAGGAAAATAAAGAGAAAGGAGAAAAGAGGAAAAGGAAGAGAGAGCGCAAAAATAACAGTAATAATAATAGAAGAGAAGGAAAGTGGAGACTGGGGAAAGTTTGAAACAGAGCAAGGTGAAAGCAAAGAGTTGTAAGAGAGGAAGGAAAAGGGCATGGAGATGGGGATTAAGAGATTGTACTAGGAGGACTCAGAAATCATAAGAGAAAACAGCTGGGAGAAGGCAGAGAAAGGCCGGGGAGAGCAGAGAGAGGCGTTTGGGAGAGAAGTAAAAGAGAAAGAAACGAGAGCAGGGGTGGAAGGAGCTGTGGGCATTCTCTTAAAGATGGCAAAAATGTAATAAATTCTTGATCCCCTGTACAACTCATACTTTAGTGCTTTGTTTCCCAAAGTGAGATGCAAACATTAGTTGTGACATAAGATGCCTCAGAAATACCAGTAACACAGAGAGCATCACATCAGAGAACGTTATTCCTCTTCCGGTTTGTTTTGTTTTTGTTTTTTGTTTTTTGTTTTTTGTTTTTGCAGCCTTTAGACTATATCCAGGAGAAAGTTTCTGGCACTATTAGGTCCTTAATACCACTATCATTTGATAATTTCCACTTTCACCTGAAGAACAGACCTCACGCTCAGAGCTTTCATTGTGGTAGAACTTAATAATATCTTCTCCTTTGGTTTTGTTTTCATGGTTATATCCACTTATGACAAATGATACCAGATTTCCCTTTGTGGTGGTAGATGTATCATTTCCTTTTCAAATGCCTTTATTTCAGCCTTTAGCAGCGAGATAATTTAAAGAATGTGCTAGGTAAATAATATAGATGGTATTCATAATGGCAGAAATCGTGACTCTAGTACATGAATGCCTGAAATTCAGGAAACACCTGCTCTGGTGGTGGAAAAGAGGAAATGAGTGCTTCTGCCCACATCGGTGCAAAAGATAACTGTTCACCTGACGATGCTGGGAGGGGAAAAAGTCACAAACCCTCATCAGGAGACTTTGCAGAATACTGATTGAATTCAGAATGTCCAGTGATTACTCAGCTATGAACAGTACACGGGTTTGAAAAAGATTATTCTTGACTTTAGCGTTTGTCGAGGGGACGAAAACTGGTACAATATAGTCTATGCATAAGATTCATTCAGAAAGCTGAGTTTAAAACCTAATGATGGGGTTCCAACATAATCTTTCATGGCTCAGCATTCAGCTTGCACTGAGACTCCGGCTGTAGTTACCAAGAGAATCCTGGAGCCCTGGAATGCATAGTTTTTACAGAATATCCTGAATTTAGTAATCTGAACTCCCCATTAGGTAACATTTAGGACTGAGAACAAGATTTCTCATTAAGGAATACTTTAAGACAGAAGGAGGTAATGATACAGCTCTGTAAATATTTAAAGGTCTATCATGTAGAAAAGGAATTTTTCATGTGAGTATAGAAGGATCAATGAATGAAAGATGATCGAGAGCAGATTTCTGTCCAATGTAAAGAATACTTTTCCAGTAAATAGAGACGGATAAAAATGGAGTGAGCTCTTGGGAGACAGTAAGCTCTCTGTCTCTAGAAGAATTCAAGCCAAGAGATTTGTCATGGCTGTATTGATAGAGTCTTATGTAGGCTTGTATATGAGACTTGACAATTTTGAAGCTGTCTTCCAGAATTCTGAGATTATAGGGTCTGGCCCCATGGCCCAGTGGTTAAGTTCGGTGCACTCTGCTTAAGCGGCCCAGGTTTGGTTCCTGGGTGCAGACATATACCACTCGTCAGTGGCCATGTTGTGGCAGCAACCCACATATAAAATAGAGGAGGATTGGCAACAGATGTAAGCTCAGGGCTAATCTTCCTCGAGCAAAAAGAGGAAGATTGGTCACTGATGTTAGCTCAGGGCGAATCTTCCTCAGCAAAAATATAATAAAATGAGATTATAGCATCCAGTACCATGGGTTAAGGGAGTAGGTGTCTTTCTAAACATTATTCTCTTTAGGATTGGGGTCACCATAAAGACCGTTTCAGTTAATTACCTTCCTGATCTCTTCCAGGCAGAGGTGGAGGAAACCCTAAAGAGGATCCAGACCCATAAAGGGGTTATTGGAACGATGGTTGTAAATGCAGAAGGTAAATACATCACAGGCTGTCTTCTTGACACCAGAAGCCAACCAAGAACCTGTTTGTTGTGCCACACCTTAAGACAAGCGTCTTAAAATTTGAAATAAAATCATATTTTGTATATTTTAGCTTATCAAACATCTTATAAAACATCTATTATCTGTTGTATGCCAAGCACTCTCCTGAGAGCCAGGGATGTAAATATGAATAAGACATGTCTAAAAATGTCTATATATTCCCAAGAAACACTACACTTGGTAGAATTTTTAAAGGTATGGTAATTCTTGTAACATTTCAGGAGTACCTATAAAACTATCAAATTGAAGATAAGGAAAATATTGTTGGCAGTTTGTTTTGGTTTTAACATTATGAAGGATACAGAGTTTCAGTCTTCATTTTAAATGAAATTGTTCCTTTACCTGTTTAATAAAATCTTGGTGAATTAATTTTAATGGTATTTATAGTATAGTCTTTGTGGACTTAGTATCAGAAAGGCCAGTACGTTTCCATTTATGAAATCTGTAGACTTATAGGAGAAACTTGCTCTCGCTCCCTAGTCCCTGTTAACACTGCACAGAGCATTTTCTCTGGTGCACTGCTCCATGCTCAGCTATGGTGGTGACCTCTTAAAGGCTCCTGCTGGTTTCATTGCTAAATCAGGCATTTGTAAGGACAAGAGGTGCCGCAAATCCCAGGGCACTAGGTGAAATAAGAGTAGCTACTTCATATTATTCATGATGGAGACATGGAATTGGCACATTGCCCCCTCAGTGCCTGGCAACAGAATCTCACAGCTAATCATTATTTTGGAGCAAATCCATCAATAAATATTTATTGAACAACTACCACCTGAAAGTCTGTTTAAACTCTGAGCTTCAATCCCTTATCATTAAAAGTGGAAAATAACCTCCTCTACTGATGGTCATGATAATTAAATGAAATAATAATTATCAAAGGCTTGGCACAACACCCAACGCTTAATAGAATTATAATTAAATTGTTCTGAGAATGTGGGGATTTTTAATTGATTTGTACAGATAAAACATTTGATGTGTTTTGCAAAATAATAAAATAGAATTAAAAATAACTCAAGGTCAAATGAATGTAATAAATTTACCCAGTGATCAGGAGGGAGAGAATTTAAGATCAGCTATACGGGTAAGTCAAGAGCTATGCCTAGTATTTCCAGGAAGTGGTCCAGCCCTCCTGCATGGTTCTGGTTGAACTGATTTTAGTTCCAGGCTTTTGCGGAAACTCTGCCACACCCTCTAAGACGGGCTGTCCACGTGACTTCATAGAGGCGTTACATTCATTTCCTTTGGCTGCTGCAACAAAGTACCACACACTTGATGGCTTAAAAGGTTAGAAACGTCTTCTCTCTCAGTTCTGGAGGCTACGGTGTCAGCACAGCCAGGCTGTCTTGGAAGGCTCGACAGGAGGGTCCTTCTTTACCTCTCCCCCAACTTCTGGTGGTTTCCAGCAATCCTTGGCGTTCCTTGGCTTCTAGACATATCACTCCAATCTCAGCCTCCATCCCCTCCAACACCTCATGTGGTGCTCTGCTCTCTTTGTCTCTGTTCTCTCTTCTTGTAAAGACTCTAGTCATTGAATTAGGGCCCATCCTAGTCCAGTGTGACCTCATCTTCACGAATTACTCTTCAAAGATCCTATTTCCAAATAAGGTCACATTCTGAGGTTTATGGTGGACTTGAAGTTTGCAGGGACGCTATTTAACCCCGTGCAGGTGCCACCCAGAACATCTCATCTGATGTGTTACTTTAGAGGATCTTAGTCTAAAGTACATAATCTTAGCAATATGCCTCAAATGACTGAAAAATGGCCACACCCTGTGATCTGTAATTCCACTCCTAGGAATTTATCTTAAAGAGTGATGAAGAAGAGATTCAGGTACAAAAGATATTCACTGAGGCATCGTGTGTAATAGCAATAAATAAACAAGTAAATCTATCCCAATAGTAGGGAGAATTTTAAATTAATTAAGTAATAGTTACTTGATGAACCATTACTCTATTTAAAATGTTGAAGAATATTGAGAGCCATGGAAAACTACTTCCAGTAGTAGATGAAAAGAGCAGAGATGGGAGCAGTACCCAGCATTTTCTAATCATAAATAAAGCCAGGCACAGACATTGCAAATAAATATGGAGGACAAGGCAGGGATGGGTTATGGTGATTATCTCTGAGTAGTGGGATTAGAAAGATTTGTGCTTTATTTTCCTGAGGTTTCTCAATTAACATTTTTCTTGTCCAAAGGCAACA